ATAATTTATTTGGTTCTTTGTATTTTTGTGGTTTGTTTTGGTTATCTTGTTGTTTTTGTTTACATTCGGCATTACTGTGTCCGTATCGTCGGCAATAATTACACCATTTTTTGAAAGATGTTTACCTTTGAATTTTGGGTTTTGCTCATATTTGTTTAAAATTTCACTGAGTTCTCCAGTTAGATCTAAATCTGAATCTTGTATGTTGTTTATATGTGTAGTATTTGTTTCGATTCTATTGACGTATTGTAGTTTAGGATTTTCTGTTTCTTCGAGTTTCATTGTGATTGCTGCTTGTTCTAATTAATCAACTAGTTTTTTTGAAATCTAAATCTGGTTCTCGAATTGAGGAGGGATGTGATGCTCTCTTTTTAATAGCTATTTTCCTTAATTCGGGTGTTAGAGTCATCATTAAAGTTTCTGTCAATTTCGTGTTTTTATAATCATGGGTGTTAAGTGAATATGCTTTTCGAACTTGTGTTTCGATTCAAACTGCCAATTCTTTAATTGTTTCGTTTGGTAGTCTACGAATTTCGTTACACAAAACTCTCTGATGTTGTTTATTTCTTTCAGAGTCAAACATTTTTGAAAATTCTGGTGTGAATCTTTTCCAATCTGTTTTTAGATATATAGGTAAAACTGAAAACCATTTCTGAGCTGCGCCATCAAGTGTTGTTTGTATTAACGCTGTGCGTCGATGTTTCCAATTTTGGTGAAGTGGCGTATTAATTGGTTCAGGTCCTATATTTAAAATTAGATTTGCTGTGACTGCATTTAAATAATCTTCTACAGAGTAGTCAGGGTCTGTACCTGTACATACCATCAATGAATTATTTGATGTTATTGATGATCCACCCATTAGGTATGGATTCATTGTCATTTGTGGTGATTCTGCGGCATTTGGCATTTGTGAAAAATTTCTAAGTTGATTTTGTGTTATTTCGTGTTGTTGTAAATAATATGGTAGTGGTGTTTAATTTTGCATTTGTGTTGGTTGATAAGTATGCATAATGGCTGGGTTTTGTGATTGTGCTGGTTGATAAGATTGTGTGCTTGGTTGATTTTGTATGTTCATCGGTTGATAGCTTAGTGTATTAGCCAAATTTTGTGGGTGATTTTTTATATTTTGCGATACTTGATTTTGTCGAGTTTTTTGTGATGATATTCTTTTGTGTATGGTGCAAAAATATCTGGCTGATAATAATCGTCATCATCTGATGATAAAAGTTTTGAGGTGTGTTATGGTGTTTGTTGTTTATTCCTTGTTATGTTGGAAAAATGGATAGTTTTCACTGTGATCTTGAGAGGGATGTGGATAGTCATGAAAACTTACTGAATTTGTCGATGTCATTGGAAAATTCGACTCTTGTGAAAATAAATGATTTTGCTTGTGTATATGGGGAGGATGTGTTGTTTTCGATGGATTTACATAATTATAATTGTGTTCTGCGGAATTACTTCTAGTAAATGTTCTTTGTCTGTGTGTTGGTTTTGTCACATGTCTATATGTTGATAATCCATATGTGAATATTGTGGAGCAACTGAGGGTTTAACCGTAGATTACAATGTTACTTGTGGTAATGTTTGACTTTTAGGTTTTGGTGTTGTAAGGTTTTGATGTATTGGTGAAATACTTTGTTGTGTAGTTGTTACTATTGTTTCAACTACTTCCTCATTTACAAAATGTGATGGTGTTTGAAAATTTTGCTGTGTAAGATTTCTAGTTCCATTCAAATTTGCCTGTGGTACAAGGGTTGAATTTCAGCTATTATTTTGTCTTCTATCAGGTAAAAGTGAACTTTAGTTTAAAGGTGTTGCGTCTATTGTAATTGGAAATGTTTTCATAAAGTCTTTATGAATAGAAATTGTATTGATTGCTTGACTTGAGATGTCTATTGGAATGTTCAGGAATAGCGGATGAGACCATTTCGGATCCCAAATATAATCTGATTGTTCTGCAATGACAGTGTCGTCATTGGTACTTTGAGGTCTAAAATTTTTTCTTGCTTGTGCAATTAAATCAATATTATGTGTAAAATAACCAATTATGAACCATGCCAAGATTTTTTGTACATCGTATTTAACATTTTGCTATAAAATTTACTTTCTGTGCTGAATTCTATGGTGTAGATTCCATATTGTTGTGTTAGGTTATATATTCCTTTTAAATAGCTATCGACAATTTGTGTTTGATTTTTATTTCAGGGAATTCTGTTTTACACGGGCTAATTCCTTGTTCGAATAAATTTCCGATTAAATTAATACAAAATTGTATTTGTCCTCTATCTTCAGTGAGTGAATTGATGAGAAATGGGAAAACAGAGTGTTCGTCTGGACTTTCATCACTTGGACTTTGGCTCATTTTTTTCGTTTTATAACTGTCAGTGCGTAATGTTCAATGTGTCTGATAAGTTGGTTCCAATTGTATCAACGTACTGGTTTATTTTTGTTTAACTTTTTTATTCTTCTTTTTCCTTGTCTTGATGACTGTGATGTGGCTTCTGAATCAGAAAAATATAATTGGTCGTGAACTGGGTAGTTTTTATTTACTGTTTACTTTAGTTTGCAAAGTGCATCTAAATTACTGACTTCTGATTCGCAGACTGCGTTTCTTCGCTTGGAAAATCTTTTCCGTATAGTTTGTCTTTGTTTGCTTATATTTTTTCTTTTTATTGTTTGTCGTTTTGTTAGAATGTATACAATAGTTTGTTTGTGTGGTGTGGTTACGAGATCGTATGTTTCGTTATTTATTTTGCAATTGTGTAAAACGATTGTTTGTTTACTTCCTAAATTGTTCAGTGACATAAGGTTTAAGATGAAGGATGCAAGGTTTTTATTGGTGAATATAATATCCTGGATTGTTAGTCCTTACAATTTTTTGGTTAGCCTAACTTGGGTCTTTTGATTCAGGGTTGGAGAGAAAAGTATATATCGATTCCGGAGAATGATTTTTATTTTCTCGTGACTATTCTAAATTAAGGTGTTAACTTACTAAATCTTACTTAGGGGTAGCGATTGTGTTCAAGGGTTGGATATTAGTAAATCTTATTTTAAACTTACTAAGATTTAAGATTTAGCCTGGGTCAGGTACGAGGGGGGTCAAGTGAAGGATGAATAACCGAAGTTCTTCACTGTTTAGCCTAATTAGAATGGTTAGAGTGATTTGAAAAAGGTCTTTTAGTCCTGGGTCTTTGAAAGGGTTGGATAGTGAATCGACGTTTGAGGTCGTTAGACACTTTAATAATAGGGTGGGGAGAACAAAATTGTACTATTTGATCCAAGGATAAGCCTTGATGATCAGATACAAATTTTAATGGTATCAAATGAATTAAGTTTGGTATTTAAGGAGATCCAAGGAAAGCTTTGATAATCTGTATTTAAGGTGTAGAGAAAATTAAGTTAAATAAAGTTAAAATTCAGGATAAGCCTTTTAAAATAATTTTATGTTTTGTTGATAGAAAAGATTAGTTTTTGATAATGTTAGTAGTTTTATGATTGCTATTATGGTTAGGTGATGGAGCTGGAGATGACACGATGATTTGTATATACTAATATTAGCTCATGTTAACTAATTTTTATTTTTATTTTAATAAATATATTTTTCAGATATTTTTTTGAATCTTACTGCAGACTTGGAGGAAACGATTTGAGATGTTTTAATCGATCGTTATTGTACAATAGTAAATTTTGTATAGCGCCTGAAATAATCATTGAAGAACATTCTTCAATGTTTTATGTTTGCAAATAAAAATCTAAATTCATTGCTAGTAAAATTCTAAATATAAAAGTTTGTTCTGGTTTTTGCCGTACGACCATGAAATTTAATGATAAGTTTCTTCGTAGTCGTAGATCGTCTCTTGTCCGAGATCTTCTTCCAATACCTGGTAGTTCTCATATTGTACGGAATAGCGGCTCTGATCTATTGAGTCGTAGAGACATTTCAATTAAATTATTATCATGTAACACTTCAGGGAAGTTTTTTGTCTATTTCTAATCTATCTTGTTAGTTCTAAGCTAATTTGTTTTTTAAGTTCTTATTCGAGACTTATGGTCGCACCAGATGAGTTATTACCGAGGTTTAATTCATAGAGTAATTTCGGATAGGGTACGCCGTCTGCTCAACACGCTATCTTATTTTCGGCCGGATAGATTCGTGCAACTTCTTAGTCTAATACCGATCCTAATCTTACTCTTATATCTGCTAGTCTCAGGGTGTTTAACTAGTCTCTGATAGGCTCAATAGATCTAGAGTATACTGGCTTATTGCGATTGCTAGAAGATCTCTTGGAGAGGTAACAAATTTCTAAGTTAAATTCAAATCTCTCTGGTGCTGAAATTACTAGTAATTTCAGCACTTACAAATAAGTGGGTTGTTAGTTAAATGGATCTTGATTGGTTAATATTAAATATTTTATAGTGATAAAATATCCAATTTATAACCAATAATAGAATATAGCTTAGATCTGGTTCCATTTTGGAACAAAGTAGCGCAATCTGTACCTGGGTCACGGACCTGTATTCAAAACTATATCCGATGTGAGATGCTCGTTTTCTAGGAATATGTACTTTGAAAAATAACAACACTAATGAAACACAAAAAGTGAAACACAGCAGCCTCAAAAGTGAAACAAAAAAAAGTTGAACCGATTGTGGAAAATGTTCAATTTTTGAAATCAGCCGCGCGGCGCCCACCTTTTCTTGAGGACCCAAAATCGCAATCATTATTATGCAATAACTTCGCGGCGTTCTCTCGGAACGCGACAGTCGCGTTTAATTTTTTTTTTTTCGGTTGCGAAGGTCGCGGACACATCTCCTTTGGTCTGCAAATCTGCAAAAGCTGAGTTTTGTTCGCGGCTGCCTGAAAATACCCAAGCTTAGCCGCGATAGTCGGAAAATAGCAAAACTCGGTCGCGGTAATCTTGACATAATACCACGACCTTTTCCCGGGTTGTAATTAAGCACATAAATTACCTTCTTCCTAACTTATCTTCTTGACTTACTTCGTTTTTGGACGCATTGAGCGGTTGTAATCACCCAAAGAGCAGAGAGTACAGACCCAGCACAGAAGAATCCCTCAGATCTGGAATGCAGTTGCACGTAAAAGGGACGACTGCCAATCACCGGCATGCCCCGAATGATGCCAGACTGCAAATGACTGGCGACAATGTCAGTCGAGCTTTGATTTTGGTTTTTGTTGGCATCATGAATATTAAGTAAATTGCCGTTAGTTTCTTCAGTTTTTAATGGAACTCGAAATGAATCAGTTTTGAAGAAAATCAGAACAAAAATCGTAAATATTAGTTTCAATCTCATTTTTAGTTCAATCGTAATATCAGAGTTGATTAATATCATTCAAACAACCGAGAGGAAATTTAAAAAGGTTAAGAGCTCTGAACAATTAACTTCAGACAAGGCTAACCAAATAAAGCAGGGTCAAGCTTCAAATGTGAGCTGATTTAAAGTCAAACATCGACGACGCCTAATCATTCATAACTGGAATTATTATCATCAAGGAAAATTCAGAATTTCTGCCAAACTTAATAGAAAAATTCTGCATTTCGAGCGATGGTTTGAATTTTGAAAAAGCAATTTCAGCTCATGATCTTCCAGCTCTAGTTTATCATTGCTCCGATTGTTATAAAAACTGGAATAAAAACTGATTGGTTTGAAAAAAGAGCAATCGGTATACTTATCCTCTTTTTGGAATGATTTATATCACATAGAAAAACACAAACAAATAGAGCGCAAAAACAGAAGATGGTTTTTTTCAGTTTTCTTGACAACGGAAGTTTTTTCCTTTCAGGTGGTTGGAAAAAATTGAAAAATTGTTTCTCATTGTCCAACCAGCAGTCTTAGAATTTTTTTTAAATTCAAGTGTATTTTAAGATAATTTAGAGCAAAGAAAGCAACTTTCGGATTATTTACAAATTTATTGGGAGACTTTTTTTTAATACAAACTACAGATGTTTTCAC